CTCAGCGCTGCTCCCATTGCCAACACATTCTGTCCTCCCGCAGAGAGCAGATCAAAGTGCGGCACGATGGCGGAGGGCGAGCAAGATTCAAGTTTCTCTGCCTTACCGGCGCGCCTTCAGAGGCGCATTGATGCTGCTTTCGACACTGCACTCGGTGAACACGATCCGGCGAGCGTCGAGCCTGCACGCAAACGCCGGAAACTCGAGCACTCTGGGCAAGCCGGCGGTTTTATTTCACATGATACAGAGCCCGGTGGCTTCATTATAGACGACCCGACAACCGCTGGCGGTTTCGTGATCGACGAACCTTTGGAGGGCGGCTTCGTAGAGGACAGGTCTCCGACGGACGACGCGTCAGACACTGAACCGCGCTCTCACTTGCCGCTCTCCTTGATTTCGACTGCTTTACAAATCTTGGATCTTCCGCCAGACGACGAGGACATCCTATCCGTCTTCCGCAACGCCGCGTCGGGATGGGGGGAACAAAGACGCAGCGAGCGCCGTCCGGGACAACAACGCTCTGAGGAGGCGCTCGTGAGTCGGAAGGACTGGCGCGCTGTGTGCGCCGCACTTCTCGACGGGGGTGCGGCCGATGGCGAAGACGTGGATGTGGGCGACGAGGCTCCGGCTGCTCAGGCGGACAACCCGGACGGTGGGCTGGAGGAGACGCCCTCAGATTCCGGCGAAGATTACGTCGATTCCGGAGACGGTGGATCGGACGTGGAAGAGGCAGAAGATTCCGACGACGACTATCGTGCCGGCGGCTTCACGCGATCGAAGAGGGCGAACACGAAATCGAACAAAGCCAGGCCGGGCACGTCTGCGGAGACGCCCAAGGCGCGGAAGGCCCGGAGAGCGACGGAAAGCGATCGGGACGAGGGGACCCGGGGCGAGCTGACTTCACGTCAGAAGGAGGAATGCCGCGCTGCATTTGCGCTGTTCTTCCCGGGCGTGGCGGATGAAGAGTTGGATCAGCAGCGGATACGCATCAAGGACGTCACCCGCGTGGCGGAGCTGCTGAGGGAGAAGATCACGGCCGAGGAGGTGAGCGTCCAAGTTTCCTGTCGCCGGCCAGAGACGACGTCGACGTGTCCCCACGCAGACAGTGGAAATGCTGGAGACGTTCTCGACGGCGCCGGACAAGTCAATGGGGTTGGCCGAATTCGAACGCATGATGATAGCGGCGAAGTTGGCGTGACTGCGTGCGTTGTGGGCGCGCGTGCGTACATGGTTCTGCTGGAGAAGTACGAGCTTCGCGTTCGACAGAGAACTTCTCTAGCAGGCAATGCTATGCGGCATGTGCCGTTTGTCCAGGACGTGCACAAGTCGGACGAGGATGCTTGTCTACGAGCATACCTGCCGGTCTTCGTTGCTGGCCACTGTCGCACCCTGGCCTAGGATCGATCGGATGTCAGAGGGGACTGACCCGACAGCCCTCATGACCCCTCCATGTAACACCCAGGTCTGAGTCTTCGCCTGGCGTTCAATGCTCTGTCTCTGTTCAGTGTTTCTGTCGGACGGCCATGTGTTGCCATCGGTCGTTGTGTCTCAGACGCATGGTACGGTAGCACGGCAGAGTCGGATCGGGAGCCGAGGGCCGGCAACCAGACGAAATGCTTCCAAGAGTTCGGAGTCGGAGAGGGGTGTGTCCACACGGCCTGTTCACCGCCGTGCCCGGAATAGACTGTCCATCAGCTCCCCCTGGCTGAGCGTCTGCCGCTGCGTTGTGCCTGGCGCCTCCGCCGTTGGCCGCACTCCACCGTCTCATTCCCTGCACGAGTCGGCGCATCGGTCCCATCGTCCAGGCAGCGCCCTCGGCAACGGTGTCGGCATTCCCGTTCATGGCTCGTTGCACATGCTCACAGACCCGCGCGCAGAAGCACAAGGTGCGCTCTGATGTGTCTCACGCTGACGCAGGAGCACAGAGTTCTGTCACGTCCCATCAACCGCTTGTCCACAGCAGCGTCTCCAGCACGGCGTTGCAGCCACTCGCCATCCCCGTGGGGCTCGCCCCGCGTCTTCCCCCGCTCGTTTTTTTTTGATTTCACCTCGTCCATCCGCGACGTAAGCGACGAGCCTCGACATGCGCCCACTGCGGATCCATTCTTTGACCCGGCTCAGACAGCACAATCGCCCTCCCCATGTGGTCCCTTTCGAAACAGGTCCTCTTTCCGACTCCACTTCCCCGCTTATAACGCCCTCCCTTCCCTCGCCTAGTGCCCTCCCCCGCGGTCTGCTCTCCCGCTCCCACCACCTCGCAAGCGTCCTCTCCCCTTTCTTCCATCAGATATCGCAATGCCCGGTGGTCCAGCAGTCACCGGCGGTGGCATCGGCGCCTCCGCCCCAAAGAGCAGGCTGGCGGGTATCATCATGACCGCTTTTGCTGCCTTTGGTGGTATCCTCTACGGTTACGACACCGGCACCATCTCAGGCATCATCGCCATGGACGACTGGCTCAGGACCTTTGGCCAGAAAGTCCCCGTCTCCTCCGACTTCCCCATCGGTTTCAAGCTGCCAACCAACCAGGAGTCCCTCGTCGTCTCCATCCTCTCCGCCGGCACATTCTTCGGTACGTCGTTCATGCTGTCGCCGCCATGCAGCTGCTCAAATTAACCTACAGGCTCCCTTGGCGGCGCCCCCGCCTCCGATATTCTTGGCCGTCGTTTCGGCATCATCAGTGCTTGCGTCGTCTTCTGCTTGGGAATAGCCCTCCAGACTGGCGCCCACAACTGGGCCACCTTCATCGTCGGCCGCTTCTTCGCCGGCTTCGGCGTCGGTCTCGTCTCCACCATCATCCCCATGTATCAGTCCGAATGTTCTCCCAAATGGATCCGTGGCGCCGTCGTCGCAGGTTACCAGTGGGCCATCACTATCGGTCTTCTCCTCGCCGCCGTCATCAATAACGCGACCAAAAATCGCCAGAACCATTCGGCATGGCGGATCCCGATATCTATCCAATTTATCTGGGCGTTCATCCTATTTGTCGGCATGTTCTGGCTTCCTGAGGTGAATCCCCTGCTGCGATCTGTCTCTCCTGCTGCGACGGCCCTGACGTGGTCTCCTGTTCCCAGACGCCTCGTTGGCTCATCAAGAACAATCGGCCAGATGATGCCGCCAAGTCTCTTTCTCGCCTCACGTCTCTTCCACCCGATGATCCGGAGGTCCAAACCGAGCTGGAAGACATCCGTGTCGCCCTTCGGGAGGAGCAGGAACGAGGCGAGAGCTCCTACTTGGACTGCTTCAAATTCAACAAGAGCAAGATCTGTTTCCGCACCCTTTCCGGTATCTTCATCCAGGCGTGGCAGCAATTGACCGGCATCAACTTCATCTTCTACTGTGCGTTAGCCACCGCTCTGACTCTCACGGTGTCCGGAACTCATCTTCGTCCGCGTAGTCGGCACGACGTTCTTCCAGCGCGTGGGCATCAAGAACCCGTTCCTCACGCAGGTGGCCACGAACATCGTCAACGTGTTCATGACTCTGCCCGGCATGTGGGGCGTGGAGAAGTTTGGCCGTCGCTCCTTGCTCCTCTGGGGTGCCGTCGTGATGTGCGTCTGCGAATACCTCGTCGCCATCATTGGCGTCACCATCTCCGTCAACGACGGTCCCGGGCAGAGAGCGCTCGTCGCCCTCGTCTGCATCTATATCGCTGCGTTTGCGTCGACCTGGGGCCCGATCGCATGGATCATCACCGGTGAGATCTTCCCGCTCAACATTCGCGCAAAGGCGATGTCGCTATCCGTCGCGTCCAACTGGTACGTGTACACCATCTAAAGTGCCATCTATCCACGCTCAGCCCTTGTCACACAGGCTATGGAACTGGGCCATCGCGTACGCCACGCCTTACCTCGTCAACCCCGGTGCCGGGAACGCCAACCTCGGCGTCAAGGTGTTCTTCATCTGGGGCTCGACGTGCGCGGGCTGCATCGTCTTCACCTACTTCTGCATCCCAGAAACCAAGGGGCTCTCGCTCGAGCAGGTCGACCTGCTCTACCAGAACTCGACGCCGATCACGAGCGCCAAGTACCGCCGCGAGCTCATCGCGCAGGACGTGCATGTCGCGGATGTCTTGCGTGGGCACGACGTCGTGGAGGACAAGGACGAGAAGGAGCAGGTATAAGCGACGGTGTACCCGAGCGTCTGGTGATCTTAATACTGGTCTGTGATACTCGCCTCTCTCTGGTGGCCTTGCTACGGCTACGGCTATGTACGGATTTAAATATACATACTCCTCAGTGAATCTATTGTGCCAGGCTCCTACGTAGTACACACAACCGCTAGTCATCGGAGAGCGATCTCCTAGAGCGAGTTCAGTGTGCAAAACTGAAACGAGAGATATAGCCTTCGATGTCTGTGCGCCGTTGAGCGATCGTGGGCTACGAATACCCGGTTGACAGTAGTATACTATGATCCAGCGGCAGCCAATATTGAAGGGACGTGTGCTCGGGGACTGATGCACAGACCGGCCTTCTAGTAGTCCAAAGCTCACAGACGAAACGTGCGGCATCCGGCCATGCGCATGTAATTAAGTACTGTAACCGTTTAAATTATAACAACGTTGTCGCGTCACACCTTCTAGTTGTTGTGTTAATGGACGAGTTGTCACGTCATATATAACCTGCGTTGTTAGCTTCGGAGCGCTGTCACAAAGGCCTGCGGACCGTGAAAAATCGATTTCTAGCGTTCTGCTGCCCCTCTGTGACGCATCGCAAATGTCCATGAGCCCCTCCGCTACCAGTCTCTCCAGGATCTCAACACAGGCTTCCCCATTACGCTTGAAGCCCTTCACAAATTCAAGTGTTTCGTCGGCGATGCAGTGCACCAGGTTGTCATTTCAACCGTTGTCACGCCCCCTTACGCCCTGGTTGTTATCGTGGCGACCACATTGTTAGGTCACATTGTCACAGGTAGTTGTTATAATCAAAACGGTTACAGTACTGATACTCGCGCGGCCACGCCTCAAACTATACGAGAGAGCAACAAGACCAAGGTTTCCCTGGGGCGAGATGGCCGAGCGGTCTAAGGCGCCAGACTAAGGTCGGTTCCCGATTGTAATCTGGTCCGAAAGGGCGTGGGTTCGAATCCCACTCTCGTCATTATACTGCATTTTCTTTTCTTACTCTTCAGAACCAAGATGCTCCCCGCATCCGTTATGCTCGTCGTCGTTTGTCAACACATACTGTAGACCTCAAGGGAGGACGCGCCTCCAGATCTCTATGCTCCTCAGACTTCAGCTCCCGAGCTTCCCGTGTGCTGTTCTTGGTTTGTCCACTCCAACCTGGTAATAGGTGCGTCCTGACCGCCCTCCGACTCGACTATCTCCGCATCCTGCAGGTCAGCCGCCGTACATGCAAACAGCTGGCTGTCGGGGTGCTCTACAGCTGCGGTTTGCGCGGTAGAGGTGAGCGAAACGTTGGGAGGCAGTCTGCCCAGCGTGCGGTGCTCATAGGACCGCAGCCTCTCGGCACCATCCACAAACCACCGACGGTGCTCGTCGTTCTCTCCTTGACAGGATCCGTACGGCATCATGTAGACCTTTTCTGACGTTCTCTAAGTCCGGGGGCTGCTATACGCGACTGCTCCTCGATCGAATGAACGGGACGTCCTCGAGCACTGCGCGGGCGAGCGTCTTCCAGTCCGGGTTGTACTTTGCGTTGGGATGTTTGACTTCGGCGTCGCACGCAAGCGAGCCAGGCGGAGGTACACAGCCGAGGGTATTGTGCTGATTGTACATGCCAGTGAGCTTCGAGGCTTCCGCTAGAAGTCAGGCAAACTCTAGATCGACAGCACAAATTGCGGCTTAGAAAGTATGCATCGACCAACGTCTCTGATATCCACGGCGAAGCCGCCCTCTTTCCTCCGAATGCAAATCCGCTCAGCATGGGCAGCCGCTGCTACGTGGCTGCTGTCCGTATTGCGCACTGGCACGTTGATCTGCGCTCGGTTCGTTGGCAAGGTCTACAAGTTAATCTATGACGAGATGAGCTTATCATCTGACGCCCCAGCTTTGAGGCTACGCCTTGCCAAGAATAATACACGATGAGGATGTCAACGAAGACCTCGCTGAGCCGTTTACTACGTCATGCATGGGACCCCCTAGCCCGAAGATGTGCAGCATCCAGTGGACCACCCTTGAGCGATTCTAGGACTTCGTAGGATGCGTCTGAAGCAAGCTCCGTGTGATTCTGTAGTGACGAAGGTGTAGGATGCTGGGGAGCAAATGGTGTATATCGATTAGGTGCATGGGACGGTAGAGACATGCTTGTGTGCTTCTATAACGCTCACGTGAAGGAGCTCGATGAGTTCTCACCGTCACGGAGCTATCGTGCGCTGTATGTGCGGCTGCGAGTCGCCTGTTTCCGAGTTCCAACGAGAGCAGAAGCGACGTGCAGCTTAGAGAATTCAGAGACAACCTTGGTACATCGCGTAGTCGAACTTCTGCGTGAACAAGCAAAGAGGAGTCAGCACAGGGCTTCCTAATGATTTAAATATTTATCGATCTACCCGATACGATGAGCACATTATCGATGGTTGACAGCATATCGAGTTGTCTAAGGTGAAACATTGGTACCAAGCGAGAGCACATAAGTACTGTAGAGCAAGTACTTGCTCAGGCACCGTTGATGAGCTCATCGTCTTCGCGTCAGCACACTGTCAGTACTCAAACAAAGACGATGCTTAGCTAATATGGTAAGCACACAGCGTCAGTTTCTTCACGAACGCTTGCGTTCTAGTAATTACTGACCCCCCAGGTCTTCTCGCGAGTGTGAACAGATCGGGTTGCCATAAACGCTAACTGCACTGGTCCCCGTCTTGCGCTTCAAGGATGCCAGTTCTGTCCTACACATTCATCGATCAGACAGCACTCTCCCGAGCTTCGTGACCTGCAAGCGATTCATTTCGGTCCGTTTCGGTCGCTTCGCCGGGCTCGCAACACGCGGACTTGCGAACCCCTTGCCTTCTCATAGCGACTTCTCGAGCGTCCAAACCCGCCACAGGCAACGGTCGTTCTGCGATCATCGTCGATATCAAAGAGTGACGAGGACCTGCTGACGCGATCGAGGCAAGATGGCCGCGGATTATCAAGCAGAAAGTGAGGCCCGAAGACAGCCTGGGTGTCCTGTTTCCAATCTGAGTAATAGTGGGATGCTCGTCGCTTGCCGCGCTCCTTCGCCGTCAACTGCATACGGAACTCAAAGTGGCTACGACGGTCGCAGACCGTTCGCGCGCTTTCGACTATCAGCCCCCCTATAAAAGAGCAGGGACGTCGACGCTTCGAGCCTCAATCCCCGCTGCTCTCCTTCCGCATACGCTCACGATCCATCAAGTCCTGATCCAAAATGGTGCTCAAGCTCTACGGCAACCCCGTTTCGACCTGCACGAACCGCGTCCGCACCGTACTCGAGGAGCTCAACGTTCCGTACGAGCTCGTCACCATCGACTTCTCCAAGGGCGAGCACAAGGCGCCCGCGTTCACGGCCATCCAGCCGTTCGGACAAGTTCCGTACATCGATGACGACGGCTTCAAGCTGTACGAGAGTCGCGCGATCGCGCGTTACATCGCGCTCAAGTACGGCGGCATCGGCAAGCTCATCCCTGACCCCAAGGATGTGCAGAAGTATGCGCTCTTTGAGCAGGCTGCCAGCATAGAGCTCAGCAACTTCGACGTCTTCGCGGCCGGTCTCGCTTGGGAGAACCTCTTCAAGCCGTGCGTCCATCTCTTGCTCATTTATTCTCGTCTCGTGAGCAATTATCCTGACGTGGGGTGATCATCAGGGCCTTCGGTGGTCAGACGAACGAGACGATTGTCCAGAACTACAAGACCTCTCTTGAGGGCAAGCTGGCTGCCTACGACGTCATCCTCGGCAAGACGAAGTACCTGGCTGGTGATGTGAGTATCCAGCCACCTTCGGTGTTAAGTATCTTGGATTGCTAACAGTGTGCTCTAGGAAATCACCCTCGCTGATCTCTTCCACCTCCCGTACGGCCAACTCCTCGAGAAGCAGGGTATCGACTACCTCGTCTCCGGCAGGTGGCCCAATGTCACCAGGTAAGCACGTTTATGGCCATTTATGGCCCTTGTTTCCACTCCGCCTGCGGTTGCGCTGACCTATATCCATTTCCAGGTGGTGGAAGGACGTCAGCTCGCGCGAGTCGTGGAAGAAGATTATCTCGGCCAAGGCTTGAATGAGGCCGCGTTGCCGCAAGCGGAAAATCATCATCTGTACAATAAGTATGAGCAGGCACGAATCTGAGAATGCATACCCCTGATGGATATTAGATGTCAATGGCGTGTCCACACATTAGTGTTGCTGAAGTCTGATAGCGTGTTGCAGAGTGCGCTTGTGCTTCTCCAGCTTGAGCGAGTTGGAGACGCTGATCATTCTGATGACGAGGCTGCAATGGCCCGCAAGCACGTGTGGGCCAGATCCAGCTTCATCGGATTAGCGGAACCACTTGCCTTACCTGCTTCGTAGCAACAAGACTAACCACGCTTAGCTTCGGAAACACATACATGTTCCGCGCGTATCTCCGGCATCGAAGAGAACAATTTATCTTCGTACGTCCTATCTCCTACTGTAGTTGGTACAGCAGATCGTCCAGCATATAATCAATGGGACGTGGGATTCCCAAACTACGGTCATCCGCTGCTCGATGGGGCACCCCCGTCCGATGGGAAATTCCCAAAGTGGTAGCTCATGCAATGACAACTGAATTCCTTGTGGTCGACCTAGTTCTGGACAGAAACCTCAGTTATCGAGTATTGTTGTTGGCTTTCGACGACCCTTTGAATGGATCACTTACTGGCACTTATGTTAGGTAAGCATCGGCTACTGCACTGTTCCGGACCGGAACCATTCGGGAGGCAGTAATCAAAGTCATTTCCCTAGCACTGGCTTGTTCTGGAGTCAGCCTGTTGCGGTTGCCTGTCGTGTAGTACTTATAGGACCATCCTGCGTCGGCCTAAATGTTGAATAAGAAATCGTGTTGGCCCCTCAGTGAATCAAAAAGCTTCCTTTGTCTTCTCCCACCTCGCCCCACCCTTCTTTCTAAGGGCTCCCTCTTCAGGCTCCCTAGGTATGAGCCACTGCAGGTGGCCACTCAGCCTCGGCCGATGAAGCATATAGTCTCTTGGCTGCATCGTTCTGCTCTCTTTGGGCCACAAAGGAACAAGTTCCTTGATGGGCCACTGATTGCTCCTCCGCCTTTGTAATCTTCCCTTATAGCCAGTCGGATCTATGATATCGCATTCCCTGACCCCTCGCCGCATTCATGACCCACACAATCTCTCTAATGACCACCCACGCCGTCGACGCTTGCCCAAACGATGCACTCTGTGCGTTGCGACCTGATCGTTACAGACTGCGCCGTGCAATGCCTGTCGCCACGTCAATCGCTTCAGTATACACTGATGCGGGTGATGCCGACATGGAGAACTCCGAATTCTTTCGGTCTAACAATCTTAGACTCCGGCAGACGCTGAGGTCGGACGATCCGTTCGCCATTTTTCTCAATCGCGAGTCGTACGTGCATTTCGATCTCTGGACTGCGCATACGTTGACGGTAGGATCTGCTTTAGGTGCAGCGTGAATGCGCCTGATCGTCGCAAGCGACGTGTACGGGACTTGCAGTATAAGTTGCGCCGTTCTCTCGTCAATGCTTGGAAACGGCTTGCGGCATCGCTGCGTCGATCTCACCAAGTTCACGAAGAGTTGTTGGATGAATTCGTGCTCGTTGACTGGGCTCCCTCTATGTCCGAGTCGCGGAGGTAAAGATTGCGAGCTCTCTGTCATCCTTGTTATATATATCATCCAGGCGGCAACTCCATTATGGCGCTATAGTGTAGTGGTTATCACTTGGGATTCTGATGAAATGTTCCCAAAACCCAGGTTCGAGCCCTGGTAGCGCCTCTGTGGAATGAAGCACCCCTTTTTCACCGCCGATTCAAACACTGCATATTCTCTGTGTTACCCTATGCATGTACACGGCACTTACTGTATGTTTGTATCACTACGCCATTGGTGCATGGTCTCTGGGCCAACGTCAGCGAGCTTTATTCTGGCGGCTGCTACAGTCCATTCTCACTAGATAGCGG